CGCAGCTTCAGGTAGCATTCTTGCCTGTCTTTACCATCAGCGGTGCTACCGGGGGTTCAGACGGCTGAGGGAGTCAAGCAGCCGACGCACAAAGCTCACAGAGGTAGCGCCGAGAGCAGGGCTTTCCTGACCACATCGCACCCTCCAAGCGCACGCCAAGACGACATTACAGGAATAATGCCCGCCCCACGGTCCGCCAATGAGGAACTGGCTTGTGGGCAGCGCCAGTTCACTCAGGCCAACCAATGGGCAACCAATCAGCCCCTGCGGATAGCAAAAGGCACTGTAGGACACAGATCGCTGTGTCTGTCACGACGTGGAGGTCGCCAACTGACAAGTCACGCAGCTCCTAGCGACTTAAGTCAGGAGAGGTCGAAATCTATTTATTTAAACGTACAGAACACCCCCCCCCCCCCGGGTGTGTGGTTTCTACTCAAACGCAGTCTTCTGCCAGTCATCTGAAAGGCAGCAGTGTGTCCACTCTTGTCACACCACACCACGCTCACCTCACCCACAAACACAGAGGTACTGTACATGGGGAACCTGAAACCGACTGGTCCGCTTGATGTGATCGTCCGTCCTGAGGTGATAATGTAACCGGTGTCGAGGAACACTGACCAAACAGAAAGAAAAACAAAATAAAAGCGCGTCACCTGGTTACACTAGACAGGTCTCCAGCGAGAGGCAGCTATTTGGCCTCTTGGTTTGTAGCTGCTCAATCATCCCCGGATCTCATGCAGCTGTTTCTTGAAAGAAACCAGGCTGTCGCCTTCACCAGCACAGCTGGGAAGCGTGTTCCCGAGTCCCACAAACCCTATGGGCAAAGAAATGCCTCCTGTTCTCGTTGTCATGGAGTTTCCACCTGTGCCCTCTGGCCCAGGTTCATTCTGAAGAAACCCAACGGGTAGTCAAGGCCTCTAATGCCTCAGTATACTTTTATCAGGTCCCCTCAGAGTTTTCTCTGTTCAGGACAAAAAGGTACTAAAGCTTTCCTTTTCATCTGGACAAGTCAAATGAATGCGTGTTCCCTTCAGTTTGATGATAAAAATATGCCACGGTAATCACACTGAAACAGGCCTAACAAAACGCAGGATGACAAAAATACTTCTAGCTAAACAAGCAAAAAAAAAAACAATCTATCTCACAATGAAGAACGACTGACTGTCCTTGTTCAATTGAAACTTACAGTTTTGCTAAAAAGGTAGAGGAGCTGCTTCAATAAACTTCCACTTCCAATTTCTGGTGTTCATATGCAGACAGAGCCACAGACTTCGACATGAAAAAAACCCATCTGTTTTCAAGAAAGATGCAGCCCAGAGTCCTAGCAGCAGGCCCTGGTGTTTTGCATCAAGAATGTTTCCAAGCTTGTTATTGTTCAGGAAACATCGTGGTGAGTCAGCAGTTCAGACTGAAGCTCAAGAAGAGCCTGTTTCTGTGCTCCCCAAGCTCAGTGACTCAGCCGAACTTCTTGGTAGCTACATGGTAGGAAATTGAAGATTTTGTATTTGGTATTGGTACCTTGTTTGTTGTTTGTTTCCTAAACAATGCTTCTGTGGTCTTTCCGAGAAAATGGACTTGGTTCTCTCTTTTCTTTGTGAAGGTCTGCTTTCAAACACCCACTAAAAGGGATTTTAATCAAGCCTGTAGAGACACAAGAGGAAACGCCGTCTGGTTGGACACCCTTGCGGTATCCGAATTTGCAAGCTGGGGTTTGCTTTTGCTGGAGGGCCCTGGCTTCATAGCTAAAAACCCGAGGGCAAGCGTATGCGTCAGGCCCTGCACAGCACGCCCTCCAGGAAGTCACAGCTGCTCACTGGTTCCAGGTTCCAGAGAAGCGACAGGCTCACTCAGAGCCAAGAGCGACACAGTGGAAAGAAAATATTCCTGTGCACGTATTTTGCATATCAGGAGATTCACCCACGCACACACTTAACTAGCTGAACTGTTATAATAGTTAATCATTCCTAATTCTCATATAGTGTTTTTCTGGACACTCCACTTAAAGTGCTTTTCCGGTCATGGGGACTCCCCTCCACCACCACCGGTGTGCAGCCCCACCTGGATGATGCACCAGTACACTCCAAACACACCAGCTCTCAGTGGGGAGGAGAGCAGAGTGATGAAGCCAGTTCAGAGAGGGGGGGTTATTAGGAGGCCATAACTGGTAAAGGCCAGGGGGAAATTTGGCCAGGACACTGGGGTAACACCCCCACTCTTTTCAAGAAACTCCCTGGGATTGTTATTGACCACAAAGAGTCAGGACCTCGGTTTTACATCTCATCTGAAGGACTGTGCCTTTTTCCAGTATGGTGTCCCCATCCCTAAAAGTGATTTTAAAATCACTATCCTTCGCTCGCTCACTTGCACCATCTTTAACCTCAACCCAGGGCGTGCCAAGCCCTCAGAAGTGTACGAGACACCTCGCAACCAGGGAGACACTTGGCTGGTGTAAAAAAAAAAAGTAATTATGCAGACAGCCAGACTTTGTTTTCCTGGATACTTAAATTAAAGGGTGGGGTTGTGTTCTGGCTTTGCTTTGTCTCTTGTGCTGCCAACCCCAGCATCTTCAACAGGAACCGACAAGCTTTAATGTGTGCAGTCAGCAAATGAGCCCCGGACCTGTAGAGACAGACCCCAGACTGCTCTCTCCCCACAGGCCGGGTCAGGGTCCGCCACCAGCCGGCCCCCCAGCCCACTTCCTCAAGACCGGGAAAACCAAAACACCCTGTTTACTCCCATCACTCCGGGATGGAGACTGGAGATGTTCGAATTCTGCAGGCTGGGACGAAACGATTTCATCCAAACCTCTGCTTTTCAGTCGGAGGCAGCGCTTCCTTATCTGTAGATGGGAGGCGAGTGAAGTCAAAAAGGCCCTGTGATTTCTGAATACCAGTTCCCCTCAAGCTTCGAGATCTTGGTTGGTCGGGCCGCGTCTCCTGCGGCCGTGGTGCCCTGTCTCTGAGACAGGGCCGCCCAACGTGTGGCCTGAAGACGTGACGGACGACCCTGGCTGCACCCCCCTGCGAGACTGGCCCTCTTCTGCGCCCGGGAGCGAGGGAGGAGTAGGGGAGAAAGTCTTGCGAAAAGCCAGGGGGCCACACTGCCCGTCCGGCAGATAGCCTGGAGCCGAAATGCCCACAGCAGGAGACTCCCGCTGAGCCAGACAGAGCGCCTCCGAGACAGGCTCCGGGCCCACCAGCAACCCCCTGACAACTGCGCTATCATCGGGCCCGCAGAAACAACAGAAAGAGAGAGACCACAGCAACGTTAACCCACCTCTTTCCTTCTCCCTAACCGAACAGATGCAGGTGCCCCTCTGCTTGCCGGGGTTATCTGCTCGTCTCTGTGTGCTTCTCATCTCACCAACTTCCAGAATTCATCTCCGTCATTCGTCATTAAATGTCATTAAAGCCCCGTGCTGTACAGTATTTGCCACCTGTCCGGCTCTCCCTGCCCTCACTGGGAAAGGCTTTTACGTTTCTTTAATTCATCCCTCTTGAGTTTTTTTTTTTTCCCTTGAAGGACACTATTAGTGGTGAAGGGGCCACACGGCGCAGGAATTTCATTTTAACACCGCGGGAGGAACTCGTGTGGGCAAAACATGATTGTGAGGCCAGATTCAAACCCCTGAGACTGGAAAAGCGCTCCCCCCACCCCCGCCAAACTACAAACTACGACTAAATTACAGGAAGAAAAATCACTTATTTCACACTGCAGAGTAAGCTTTAAACCGTATGTACACACACGGGCATCTGAAGCGTTTCCCCACACAGACCCTGCGTATTAAGCGAGGACAGGGCGCCTCAGTCCTTACTGCTCAACACCAAAAAAAAGTTCAAAACGCATAAATGTGATCAACGCCTGCTCGTTCAACTCGGCCGAGATACACAGCGCCGGCTGCCGTGTCGGGTTCTGTAGGGTAAACTCTAAATTAACTCGGTTCTTACTTATGGTTTCTCTAAAGATCACCTGAGGGCTGTGCTGCAACTTCTGTTCTCTGCCCAAGACATGAACTCGCTTCAACTGGCGCACAGTTTTACGCGAGACTCACTCTAGATCACCGATTACCGGTCCAGGCAAAGAAAAAGTGAATTGCGCTGTATTTTACAAAACTACTCAGCGAAGCCGCAAATATTTGAGCGAATTAAAAAAAACGCAGAATGGGTTTCGATAATCGGGGTGTTAAATTTCTTTATAGACACTTATCATAACGCAGTTGAAGCGAATCGCTGTGTTGATCTCTCGTTTTTGTAATCATAGACACCAGGTCATGTTTTCGGTTAGGGCTGCGTAAATCACAGCTCAGGCGACTGCTTATAAACTTGTCTCTCTCTTTTTCCTTCTTTTGCACTGACACCAACGCCATGCCAGCACAGTCAAGTACAGCATCTGACAAAGTGCAGCAGAAAAGAAAGCGCACGCCAAATGTGAAGAAAAAAAAAAGAGTTTTCGAATCGCGAACGTCGTGCAAAACATTTACTTTGCACCGGTATCGATGCCGGACTTCGGTGGCCCAGCTTTAAATGAAGCACCAGCATTCAAAGTTTGTATTCTTCAGCTGGACATGACAGAAATACTCCGTGTAGGTTATCAACACCATCCACAGATTATGTACTGTACTCGCAATTGTCAGTTAAAGCCAGCAACTCGAAATCTGCCTTTCGCTGCCTTGTTTATTTACAACTTCTTGCGCAAAACCAGCTCTTAGCCGGGGTCCACAGCTCCATATGCTGAGCAGTGTGGTGCGACAGTGCGTCTCCGACACCGATACAATGTTCCGTCCGAAACACTTGATTCTGCGCCGTGGAAATAAAATAAAACAATGTAAAGTACCGCACGCAAACCGCACACGATCTCAAAGCCGGTCACAATTTCGCCTCTGCCGAGAACAGCCAACACATTGTCAACATGCAGAGCCTTTCAAAAGTGTTTTTCAAACTTATTTAAGTTTAATTTTAAATATATATATATAACCTCCCCCCTCCTCCACGATCACTTACTTTAAAAAGTACCTCTGACCATTGGAGGTGAACGCCATCTCCCAGCCCGGGGGCAGTGGTAATTCATCGGCGACATCGAAAGACTGCTGCCGCAGATGAGCGTGGTGCTCCGGGCTGGGGGTCGCGCTGGCGCCGGTCTCCAGGCGGAACGAGGCCGGGGAGGAGTAGGACCGGGCGTGCTGTACTGTCAGCCGGGGCGCCTGGCTCCCGGAGTCGGTACTGGACTGCCGGGAATGCGACCCCGAGTCCGGCTCCTTGAAGAAAGACTCGGGCAGGACCTTCTTCCGCCAGGAGCTGGGCTTCGGGTTCATGACCGAGTTGAACAGCGCTTCGAGATCCGTGTCCAGGTCCTGCGCGACGTGGATCACTTGCTGTCCCGGCAAGGGTTGTAGAGGATTGTTGCTCATTTTCTTCGAGGGCAGGAGGTTAATACGAGAAGAAAAGATTTCCAATCCCGCAAACCCGACTGAAGCGATTCCCCAGCCTTCACAGGCTTTGTAGTTGAGCGGTGTTTTGCTCAAAGTTTTTTTTTTTTTAACTGTACACACAGTCCATCTAGTCTTTTCTTCAGATCATTTATGCGAGCAAGTAATACCTATGTTATTGACGTAAATGCGTTTCTGAAACGCATCGACTTCTCTTCCCCCGTCTTGGGAAAAAGTTATTTTTTTAAAGTAAAAAAAGTTCAGCCTCTCCCCCCCCCCCCGCCACTTTCACACGGATGAGTACATTCTAGTTGCAGTGACACCAAAGTTTGTAAACTCCACTTTCCTGCGCTGCCCGTGGTCGCGTTAGCTCATGAATTATTCACAAGCGCGGAGGCTCAGCTGGCTCCGAAAAAAAAGTTCAGTGCGCGTTTCATGACAGGAGCGAAACTTGCTCAAAAAAAAAAACACGCAGCTGTGACCGTGCTTTAGCCTCTCCCCTCCACCTACACCAAGCAGGTTGGGGGGGGCGAATAGGAAAACTGAAACCACAGTTTAAGTTGGGAACACGACTTTTTTTTAAGGCTCTCTCGATAAATCACAGCTGTCAACTCCGGGCGCACAGGACGACACGGTTGAGGATTGCGTGTGAGCGTGCACGCAAAAAAAGAAAACACATTAGATGAGTCGCGCTAAAGAAATGCTTCAGAACGTGAACTTCTTTGGGTCCTAAAATCATTTTCTCCTCTTGGATGAAGTGTTTTCGGATTTTACCTTCATTTTCTCTCCCCTGTGCGTTTCGGAATCGCCTCCTAATCTGACCATATATAGGCAGAGGAGTTAGAAACCGCGCCCACGTTTGTTAAGACTCCGCAAGCTTGTCTCACAATAGCGACTGCGTGTTTCAAGACCGGGGTGTTGATGGGGCTGTAAACTGCAGCTTGAAAATGCCTGTGACGACAGAATGCGACGGTATCCATTGAGTGGAATAGTTTTAGTTTTGTTTTTGTTTTTATCTGTATTGTCTTAGAACCGCCTCATGGATAGTTACTTTCCCCGGTCGTTAGATAACACGTGTGGACAAAGCCATCCACTAGACCACGAGTAATGCCCAGATGCCGTAGACGTTATTTAATGACGCGCAAAGCAGGTCGTGGATTTATTATTATTTTGAAAGGCCAAATGAGTATTTTTCAAAAGGAAAAGTGGGCTGTCGAGGCTTTTTCAAATAACACCGCTAGCAGGGGGGGAACTCGGATCAATAAGTACAAAGCTGAAGTTTGGTAACGGAATGAAAACTGACATTGAACTCATGGAACGTCTTGATAGTTTGTCCTTCATGTCTCGTCTTTTTGGGAAACAGTAATATAATTTTAGTGCAACTTGGCACTGTTATTTTTTTGTGTGTGTGGTTGTTTTGACGCGCTGTAGCTGATCTCTGTATAACAGCGCGTCAAGAATGAAGAGTGTTATTCTGTATGACGTCGAGGGGCTCTGTGGTCTAACAGTACACATGCGGAAACGCCGTTGAAGACGAAACTCCAGTGACGGTCCAGACAGCGTTGGTCAGTCTCTGGGTGGTCAGCTACCGTTCCAAGCTTGAGCTGGTTAAAGGTTATACTGGGAGTGACACAGCACGAGTCAGGGCCCCGCTGAATCAAAGTGCTGCCCTTCAGACCACACGAATGCACTTCCACGGGTGTTCTGACTGTAGATGAACCTGCTGAAGACGAAGGGGAAGGAGTGATTGTGTGCTGAGCACCACAGCTGGGCCCTGAAGGCAAATCACACCTCGTCACACCGACGCCTGCACACTTCAGTAGTGCTTTCTGGCTCTCAGAATCTTCCATCTTTATTCATATTTCTGTTTTCTTTTGTAGGGGTCGAGTTAACACGATTTCACACAGTGCAAACGTGCAGTTATGGGATGTCTGGTTGTGTTGGTGAACGTGTTAACAGAAAGTTCGGCAGGTTTATGGAGTCACGGATTGGAAATAACATCAGAATCAAGTTCAACCCTAGGGAGGCACGCCTAACGCTGCTCATTTTCCACGACATGAATGATTTCGAACATTTCAACGGGTTGAAGCGTTAAAAGGGCGAATCGACCCCCTCGGGCGCCGCTTTTCACGCGCTAGGCTGTCTCCAGTCTCGCGCGGAGTGCAATCCCGTTCCGTGCGCGAATCTCGACCGGCAATTAAGGACCCAGAAAAGGAGAGAAGCCGAAATGACAGGATCAGCGACTTCCTGAAACACGCCGTCCATTACCGCTGACCTTAAACTAAACTCGATCGCAATGCGCTTGAAAGCTACGGGCTTTCGTCAAATTTCAACAACTGGAAAAAAAAAGTTTGTCTTTATAGAACTAAAATGTATGTATACATTGTATTCAATTATTTATAATGGTCTGACACTCTGGTAGATGTCAGAAGAGCTGGAATTCCGAACGCATAGTGAAACAGCACAGAAAATAACCGATGAGATTTAATCTAAGAAGGTAACGATATGAGCCACCCCTTCACAGTCAGCATTTATGCATACTGGAATACAAATCCACGACAAATGTAGCCCCTGAACTGAAGAGAGAGGGAGGCAGAAACAGACAGCAGGTGTGTTCTCTCCTTCACTGGTTGGTACTGGTGCCCGTTGGTCAGTCGGGCTCCTCAGTGGAATCAGTTTCATTCCTTCCTTTCATCTTCTTCCACAGTTAAATTGTGTTTCATCTCACTTAACCCCCTCTTCCCCACAGCAGACACCAGCCAACCACACGCACCCACACAGAGCTGCACCTGCTTGCTGGAGACCACCTGTGTTAAAGCACAGATGCCTCCGGAAGGACCTCAGCTGAACACGTTCATTTAACCCCTTCAAAAAGAGCACCTGTCACCCCAAACCCCCTGCGAGAAGGAGCTCCAGAAAGACTCCAAGTCTGTGCGCTGTTCTTGAAGACTAGCAGTGACAACTGCGCCGGAGCAGAAGATCTGGTTTCCTTTCCACCTGGGAAATTCTCTCTTTCCTTCCGAATGGGAGCTACAGTCTTACCGCCAAATTGTAGCAGTTGTGCCTCTCTGTGCTCAAGGTCTCTTCTTTAACCTGTTTTTTTTAGCTTATTCATGGATACTGACTCACTGGCAATATTCAGGAAATCGTGCGAGTGGCTCCCGGCCCATTAAAACGATAGGTGGAGTGGTGGCACTGTGGCTCAGGATCTGTGCCTGTGGCTGGGAGGTTGCCGGTTCGTATCCCGTGGCCGGCAGAGGAATCCTACTCCGTTGGGCCCCTGAGCAAGGCCCTTCACCCCAACTGCTCCAGGGGCGCTGTATAAATGGCTGACCCTGCGCTCTGACCCTAAGCTTCTCTCCCTGTCTGTGTGTCTGTGTCTCATGGAGAGCAAGCTGGGGAATGCGAAAAGACGAATTCCTAATGCAAGAAATTGTATAGGGCTAATAAAGCAACATTATCACCATTACATTATCACGATGTCGACGGACTCAGACGGGCCCGAGCAGCACGTGCAATTTCTCCCAGGGTCTCGCTCAGGCCTTCTGAGCTGCTGCCAAAAAGCAAACAAGACCCGCCCGGATCCCTTCTTTCCTGGATTTCCCAACTTCTGGATCCGCAGCAGCTCCCAGGGCAGGCCAGGTGGTTCCAGAGCCCCGCTGACGCACGCAGGGAGCCGTGCCAAGACGTTAACGGTCATCAGGTTCCTGTGCAGCGCAGGAACCACCTGTGGAATGGAAAGACTTCCACTCTCGCACAGAACCGTGGAGCGGCCCCAGAGCCCGCTGCGAGGGCAGGCCGGTCTTCTCCTTGTTTTCCACAGCTCCCCGCAGACCAGGCCTCTGAATCCCGGCGGTACACACTGCTCCAGACGGGCTCACGCCCGGGTTTCTCTGCCTTCACAGCTCAGGGCCCGAAGCCATGCCGTGCTTTAAATATTTATAATGCATTTCCCCCCCAATTACAAAAAAAAAGACTGATGCCGAGTAATGAAGCATTTTGCCCAATTCAGGGAGGAGGCATCTTAATTACATCATGAACATCCCAACATGACACAAAAAAACAAACACATTTACTCCGCTTCTTAAAGCGCTGATGACGACAGCACAGGCTGACATATTTTGTCATTTTCCTCACGCATCCCAAACAACAATGGCACCTGCTACAGGTGCCCTCTATCTGCTGACCCTGTGCAATAAGGCTTGCATGATACGGTCCACAACACTTTCCACCTCAAGTGCGGCTGATACGGGGTAACTGAATCCATCGTGTGTCTTCGATGCTAGTGAACATGTACAAACTACGCCCTCTGCTGGTCACTTCAAACACTATACATTATCCTTTATAGGTTTTAAAATCGCATAAAATAATAAAAACGATGGGTTTTAAGAGCTATCTGAAACACACTACTCAAAATAAAACACTTCATGATGCAAAAATATTTTAAAAAGGGTTTAGTGCAGTAATCTTCAAGAAAGATTATATGTAAAAACTGTAACATAAACCAGAGTATAGAAAACAATACATTCAGGTTCTCCAATTTCTTATCATGTGGTATGTTTCTTAAATTACAAGCTTTTAAACACTTGCAAATCCAGTAAGGACCAGAAAAGACCATTCATTTCCTCCAGGAAAGGGAACAGGGCAGTGTGTAGCTTCACACCTTGAGAAAGCAGACCAGTTCAATCTGACAAGTTTTCTCTTTTTATAAAAACACACCAGGACATCTGAGCTGTTCAGTTTGTTTTTTAACCAAAATCCAGTCCCAACAGCAACATGAAGACACTGACTCCACTTTGTAGGATACTGTCACTGCTATCTAAGGCAAACATGCAGTTGATAGACTTGAGACATTTGGCGTTTTGTTTTTATTTCATTCCCAGTGGAGAGAATGTAAAAAAGTAATCTGAAACAAAATTAAGACACATTATAATTTATATCCACCGAAGAAGAGATCTTGCTTCAACTATAAAAGTAATCATTTAAAATCCCCTGTGTTATAGGTTTAGTCTATGACCTGATACAGCGAATCCTTGAGTTATGGATGCAATTAGGCTAAATTTAGTGTCTATAGAAATCGGCAAGAGCAATCTCACTGGCTGAGCGACATTCTCAATCTTTAACACCTGCTGCACAGAAGGCTCGTTTATCATCACTGCAGCAAACAGAATACTGACAGTGTACTTCTCCATACGCTTTCCTCAAGTTATCCCAAGCTTGGTCCCACTTTGGAACTGCCGCGTGGAAGGCCCGAATTATCAAGGACTTCT